GTAATTTGCAAATATTTGCTTCCCTTCTATTGTCTTTTTACTTTATTGATAGTGTTTGAAACACAAAAGTTTTTAATTTTGATGAAGTCATTTTAATTATTATTATTTTTTTGGTTGCTTGTGTTTTTGGTGTCATATCTGAAAAACCATTGCCTAATTCAAGGTCAGAAATGCATCTGTTTTTTGGTAGTTTCAACTCTTACATTTTGGGTCTTTATTCCATTTGAGTTAATTTTTATTTTTGTTTTTATTTTTTTGAGACAGGGTCTCTCTCTGTTGCCCAGGCTGGAGTATAGTGGCATGCTCATGGCTCTCTGCAGCCTTGACCTTCTGGTCTCAAGCAAATCCTCCCAGCTCAGTCCCCCTGGAAGCTTGGACCACCAGCGTGCACCACCACCTGCTGCTAATTTTTGTATTATTTGTAGGGATGGAGTCCTGCAATGTTGCCCAAGGTAGTCTCAAACTCCTGGGCTCAAGCAGTCTACCCACTTCAGGCTCCCAAAGTGCCTGTATTACAGGCATGAGCCACTGCACTCAGCTCATTCGAGTTAGTTTTTATGTATTCTGTGATCCTTTTACATGTGAATATCTTGTCCCAGTACCATTTTTTGAATATGGCTTTAAAACCAAAACTATTCTTTGTCCTCACTTTATTTACCATCAATTCACATACTTGTATGTCTTGCACATTTGCAGGCACTAATTAATATTAATATATTAATATAATATTAATATACAATTTACAATAAAGACTTGGTGTTCTCTTGGGGGCTAATGTTTAGTAGAGACTGATGATGGTATATATATATGAAATTGTTAAAATGGTTTATAATTAAGTGCTGGGGAAGTAGGGGAGAGATTGGAAGTTACCAGGAATTCAGAAAAGGGAGTAAGTCTGTGGTCAGATGGGTTCGTAGAGAAGATGAAGCTATTGAGGTTAGGTATGCTTTAGGTTCAGAAAGATCAGAAATGGCCAGAACAGAGCTGTTGAAGCAATTAGATTCTTTTTGGTCCAAGAAGTGTATGGAACAACTTTTAAACAGATTTTGAAATTTTCTTGAAGACCAAGTCTTGCCTTAGCCTAAATTATGTTATTAAAAGTTGGAAGCCTAATTGTGTTATTGGAAGTTGGAAGCACTTGATATAAACTTCATGCAACTGTGTTTAGAGATAAGGACAGTTTTTTCTTTTCATTTCTTTCAGTAATTGTCATTGAACCAGACTTAATATAGCCCCTCTTCACAGTTTCCTGTAACCTTTTAGGATTTATTTTCAAGGAACTTTAGAGAAACTATTTTTGTCATGGTCACTGATTACTTCCCCATTGTAAATCCAGTGGCCAATTCTCAGTCCACATCTTATTTGACCTAGTAGCATATAACACAATCGGTTACTCCTTCTTCCTTTGATACATTTTCTTTTCTTGGTTTCCCCAACACAATACTTTGAGTTTCCTCCTCCATCACAGTTAATGCTTCAGTAGTTTTCGTTAGTCTCCTTGTCCAGTTCTATTTCTTCCCAGCCTCATAAACTTGGAGTTCTTAAGACTCAGTTCATCACTTTTCTCTTTCTGTACAGACTCCCCTGTTGATTTCATATAGTCCCATGCATTAAATATCATATATATGCCAGCGACTCACAAGTTTGTATCTCCAGTCCTAACATTGCTCTTGAATTTCAGGTTTGCATGTCTCACCAACTCCTCCACTTAGGCACTGCAGTGCCTACTCAACATCTCAAACTTAACAAGCCCCAAACTGAACTTTCTGTCTCTCCTCTCCCCTTATACCCACTCAGCCTTTGTTTTATTTTATTTTATTTTTTTGGTGGGATGGGGAGTTGAGGTCTTGCTCTGTCACTCAGGCTGGAGTGCAGTGTTGTAGCTCCCTGCAGCCTACACTTCCTAGGCTCAAGTGGTCCTCCCACCTCAGCTTCCCAAGTAGCTGGGACCACAGTCATGTGTCACCATGCCCAGCTAATTTTTGTATGTTTTGTAGAGACAGGGTTTGACTCCACTGCCCAAGGTTGGTTTCAAATTCCTGTGCTCAAGTGATCCTCCTGCCTTGGCCTCCTGAGATTGTTTTTCATTTTAATTGAAGACAACTCCATCTTTCTAGTTGACCCAGGCTAGAAACCTTGGAGACATCTGTGAGTCCTTTTCTTCCCTCATGTCCAGTCATGAAATCCTAGGCTGAGCCAGTGTCATTTCTCATCTGGATTGCTGCCACAGCCTCTTATTTTCCTGCTCTGTTCTGGTACTCCTATTGCCAGTTAGACTGACCATATTAAAATGTTTTATTGGCCAGGCATGGTGGCTCACATCTGTAATCCCAGTACTTTGGGAGGCCAAGGCAGGAGGATAATTTGAGCCCAGAAGCTTGAGACCAGCCTGAGCAACATGGCAAAACCTTGTCTCTGCAAAAAATACAAAATTTAGCTGGTATGGTGGTGGGCATCTGTCATTTAAGCTACTTAGGAGGCTGAGGTGGGGAGGATTGCTTGAGCTGGGGAGGCAGAGGTTGTGGTGAGTCAAGATTGTGCCACTGCACTCCAGTGTGGGCAATAGAGCAAGACCCTGTGTCCAAAAGAAAAACAAATACATTTTATTAGCTTACATGCCTTATCTGCTCAAAACTTTGCAGTGGATCTCCCTTTCAGTCAGAGTAAAAGCATAAGTTTTTTGTTTGTTTGTTTTGTTTTTTAGCACTCAGAAAATGATTTGGTTCCAATGCAAGCATAAGTCTTTACAATGCCATAGAGATCCTACCAAACCAGTACCATTATGCCTTGGACCTCTTCTCTTACTTTCCTTGGCCAGAAATCCACTTTTGACGCACTGACGTCTTTTCTATATGAATAGTCTAGGTGTATTCTTGCAATAGGACTTTTCTCCCCTCAGCCTGACATACTTTTCCCCAAAGTAGCCAGTCACATGGTAATTCCTTCACTTTCTCAAGTCTTGGCTCCAGTGTCATCTACTCAGTGAAGGCCACCATGCTGGCACTGTTTTAAAGTTGCAGTTGCTCCAACCACACACACTCCCCATCTCCTTTACCCTGCTTTTTTCCCCCAGGTAGCATATATCATCTTTTGTTGTAGTATATAATTTGCTTATTTTTTGTGTTATGTCTCCTGCACGCAGGTGAGTTCTTGGGCGTGGATTTTTAGTTATTTTGTTTCACTGCTGTACCTGTCACATAGTGAGTGCTCAATAAATATTGGTTAAATGAGTGGGCATCCTAAGGATGTTATACTCTCGGGCTCCTTGTTGAAATTCTCAGGTGCCATCCCAGACCTACTAAGTGAGAAACGCTGGGGTTGGAGTCCAGCTACTTTGTTTTAACCTTAAGGCCTCCAGGTGATTCTGATGTAAATTAAAATTTAAGAACTTCAGCTATATAATGGTTAGGATTTCAGATACCAGGCCTGTTGCTTACAGGTGGGACTATGTAGATGCAGAGATAAATGACAAATACCTTAACTGGATTTGTTCTCTCTGTCTCTTTTTCTCCCGTCTCCTCCTTTTTTCCTGCTATAGGAACACAATTTGGAGGGAGGTAGCTCAGGGAAAGAGGATGTAAACTGGAGTAACTTTCAGTTGATCATGTGTGTTAGGGGTCTTTATAACCACCCTTAGGTTCCAGTGATTCATTAAAAGGACTTACACAATTCAGCATATAATCATACTGTCTTAATTAAAGTTTATTACAGCAAATAATACAAAGCAGAACCACCAATTACTCATGGGGCAAAAAATCCAAAGTCCAAAGTTAGGCAGTAGGTGCCCTAGTGACCAGCCCCCAATAAAAGCCCTGGGCACTGAGCTTCTAATGAGTTTCTCTGGTAGGCAACACTTAACACTTCTCATAACCCATTACTGGAGGAATTAAGCATGTTCTGTGTGACTCCACTGGGAGGGGACTATTGGAAGCTTTCTCCATGCCAGGAGAAAGCCAGGTACTCACTGCCTAGAATGTACCAAAATTCTAGATTCCCAGAAGGAACGCAGGTGTTCACCATAAACCACACTGTACAAAAGTTTAGGCACAATGGGCCATTCTTCTCAGTTAAGGCAGGGGTCCCCACACCCCCAGCTGTGGACCAGTACCTGTATGTGGCCTGTTAGGAACCAGGCTGCACAGCAGGAGGCGAGCAGCCCTGAAGGAGCATTACTGCCTGAGCTCCACCCCCTGTCAAATCAGTGACAGCGTTAGATACTCGTAGGAGCCCGAACCCTGTTGTGAACTGCACATTGGAGGGATCTAGATCATGTGCTCCTTTGAGAATCTAAGCCTAATCTGAGGTGGGATCAGTTTCATCCCAAAACCATCCCCCGCCCCCAGCCTTTATCCTTGGAAGAAATGTCTTCTACGAAACTGGTCCCTAGTGCCGAAAAGGTTGGGGAACGTTGAGTTAGGGAATGGTGGGAACATTTCCAAACTCCTAAGTTTCTATATGCCAAGAGCCAACTTTGTAAGCAGGACTTTCTAAGGGTAGCAGTCTCTAACCTGCTGTGTCTGACATAACTCTTTTCTGCACATGATGGTATCCAGAGAAGTTTGTTTTCTTCTACTTCTTTATATGGGATATGAAGCATTTGCACTAAATCATCTCTCTTGAGGAGTTTAGTAACAACCAGAACATTTTGAGAATGATTTCAGCAGTGCAACTGGGTTTAATAAGTGAGTTTATTCACTTAGACATATTTTCTTAAAAATAATACTGCCTTGATAGTATTATTCGTAGTCTGTACTTAATTTTGTAATGAGAAAAATGACTCCTTTTATAGTAAAATTTTCTTTTTCCAAAAGTAAGAAAATTGTATCTTTCTTAGTATCCATTTGAAAAACAACATCTGTGAATGTGACCATCAGCTTCAAAGCAGATACTAATTTTTCTTCACTTTTCTTCCCTCTTTCATGGTCCAAAAGGCCCATTTGAAACTTGTGATCTTTGGGTTTCAGTGAGTAACCAATCTTGCTTTTTTTATTTTTTTATAGGCCAAGATGCTGAATTATCAGGGACACTTTCACTTGTTTTGACACAGTGCTGTAAAAGAATAAAGGATACCGTTCAAAAATTGGCCTCGGACCACAAAGACATCCACAGCAGTGTTTCTCGTGTTGGAAAAGCCATTGATAAGGTATGGTATTGAAGGAAGTATTTGTATTTTTAAGCGTCATTGTCTTTCTTCTGTCAGTACTTAGATAACACTAGCTTTCACAAATTACTTCATGCTGTTCCTATTTTTTTTGCTTTTGGTAACTTATGCAGGTCTAGTTTTACTATGTTGTTGTTATTAAAGTTCCCTGTTACTATTATTTTAAAAATAAAAGCAAAATTAAAAACCCCTCCTTTTATAGCTTTGTTGTTTATCCATTTGCATACATGATTGGAGCTCTTAGGGTCATGATGAATAAAGTTCCAAAGAAATTTTTTTTTTTTTTTTTTTGAGGTGGAGTCTCACACTGTTGCCTGGGCTGGAGTGCAGGGGCATGACCTTGCCTCACTGCAGCCTCTGCCTCCCAGGTTCAAGTGATTCTCCTTGGCTTAGCCTCCCAAGTAGCTGGGATTACAGGCACCAGTCATCACACCTGGCTAATTTTTGTGTGTTTTTAGTAGAGACGGGGTTTCTCTATGTTGGCCAGACTGGTCTCAAACTCCTGACCTTGTGGTCTGCCTGCCTCAGAATCCCAAAGTGCTGGAATTACAGACCGGAGCCACCTCACTCTGCCATTCCAAAGAAATTTTAACCTAGCTTGTGGGAGTTTGTTTACCAGTAGTAACTTTTCCTAATTCCCGAGTAATTCCCTGGCTGTGACTCTATCTCTGTTATGGGATGGTTAGAGTAACAATCTTGTATCAGTCTCCCCCGAATCATCCAAACTCTTTTCTTTCTATGGATATCTTAGCTACTTTTTAATTTTGCCTCCTGTGTGAATGAGTGAATGGGTTGGTTGCTAGGCAGTGAGACTGACCACTTTTGTCTGATGTTTTTTTTCTTGTGACATTTCTTGAGTAAGCAATCTTTGACTTGGTTGACTTACAAACAGTTATCATTTTTAGTACTGGCTGATTTTACTAATGGAGTTCATAGTCCCATTGGGGCCCAAGAGAAGTAACACAAAGTTGCTGTGTGATACCTCTGACTACTTCAAACATTGGGGAGATTGTGACTGGTCAGGGGCATTTCTCTTCACATGTCGTAAACTTCTGGGAAGGTAGGAAGAACTTCTGAGGAGTCCCCTCTGTAGCAAAGGCATCTCCTAAACAGTCCTATGAGTTACTCATAGGAGAACTCATAAGAGTGATAGTTGTAACAGAGGTAATAGAAGTTATAACAGAGGTAAATGAATCTGGAGAGTGGTTCATGTAATCCATGGGTAGACCTAACTGTTAGAAATTATCCTGTGGAAAGGCTAGACTTGATGGTGCTTGAGTCAGAGCTATGTGCTTATAAGGTTGTACCATTCACTGGTAGGTATGGTGTGACAAGACTGTAAGTGGCAGGGGTTCTGAGGACTTATTTTGGTAGTTGTGGCTTACAGAAGTGTTGGTGGCCTTTCAGAGACTTCTCACCACTCTCAGTGGTGTGAGGGCTTTGACTTGGCCAAAGAGTCAGAGGGTGGTTTTGGCAACAGCAGAGTTCCAGCCACATTGTTATTACTGGTGATGGCAGTTACCGTCAAAGTCTGGGAAGGCAGTGAGTATTCTCTGAAATGGCTTTGAGGTTGTGAAGCCTGTTTGGTAACTCCAAGAGAGTGAACACAGTTTTAGAAGTGGGTTTGGCATCAACCCTATTTGGTACTATGATATTTGATGTCTTCAATTGGTACCTGGAGTGGTTGTTGGTGTGTATGAGCTTAAGAAATATGGGAGTGGTAGTGGGACACTTTATTTTCTTCCAGCAGCTGTATCCTTCTAGAATGTGATGGGGCACTTTAGAGATGGTCTTAAATCACTGCAGGTGAAGAACCCTTGGTTCTTCTAGGGTACAGTAACTACTGGTGGTGTCTAAGAATCAGATTTTGATGTTGACAGGGACCAAGGCATCCTGATGATTCTAATGGCTCAAAGCTCAGAGAGAACCCCAGGAAGTTCCTGGGGACATCTGTTTGACAGTGACCAAGGCATCCTGAAGATTCTTATGGCTCAGAGCTCAGAGAGAACCCCAGGAAGTTCCTGGGGACATCTGTTTGACCACCAGGCTGCCTGCAGTTATAACAGAGGGTCAGCATTTGAACAGTAGAACCAAAGGTGCTATGACAGTGAGAAGAGCTAAAGCTTCCAAGGCAGCCAATCAGAGAAAGTATCTGGGAAGAGATCCCAGATTCTTGGAATAAATGAGAATGGGCTCAGAAACTATAACTATAGTGTGTGGGCTACTGACCAGGATCTGGAGCATTTGGGCAAGTAATTCACTAATTTTGCTTTCTGCAGCTGGTAGCATGACCATATATGTTCCTGTTTCCTAGTTTATGTCTGTTGTTCTGTCACGATTATTGGAACCTTCTTTTGGTCTTGTCCTCTTGCTTCTGTTACCTTGCTGAGCATGTCTTACTCCAGATATAGCAGATCTTTATAGATACTCATAAGGGTTGTCAGATATTTTGACCAACCTTTAAGACAAAACATTATCTAGATGTACTTGGTGCCAAAAATGGAAGTATCTTATTGGGAATGGCTATCAAGGGAATACATTTATAATGAATAATCTACATTCTGGCTTATTTTGGATAGGGGGATGTGTTTGAGGTGAAGATTCCTAATTACATATTTTAATTTACTTGTTCCTCTCTTGAGGACATTTTTTTTTCATGCCCTTGGAAGTTATAAGGACTTTTTCAAGTAATTATTTTACAGTTTCTTTCAAAAAATTGTTTTTTTTGTTTTTTGTTTTTTTTTTTTAAAGACAGACTCTCTCTCTCTGTCTTTTACCCAAGTTGGAGTGCGATGGCATGATTTCAGCTCACTGCAAACTCTCCCTTCTGGATTCAAGTGATTCTCCTGCCTCAACTTGCTGAGTAGTGCCCAGCCCAAAAATTGTTTCATGTTCCTGTGAAAGTAGTTTCGGTTCTGGGTGACCTGGATTCTAGATTCTTCTCATCCATCATATGAAACTATTATTTAGTTGGCTGGGCCTGGTGGCTCACACCTTTAATCTCAGCACTTTGGGAGGACAAGATGGGCAGATTACCCGAGGTCAGGAGTTTGAGACCAGCTCGGTCAACATGGTGAAACCCTATCTCTGCTAAAATTGCAAAAAAATTAGCCATCATAGTGGCAGGTGCCTGTAATCCCAGTTACTTGGGAGGCTGAGGTAGGAGAACCCAGGAAGCGGAGGTTGCAGTGAGCCGAGATTATACCACTGCACTCCAGCCTGGGTGACAGAGCAAGACTCCATCTCAAAAATAAAAAAATAAACTATATTATTTAGTTGATACTGAATAGTGTTTGTGGTACTGTAGTCTGCCGCCACAGAGGAAGCCTGGATCTTTTAGCTCAGCTTCCCAACATCTTTCAGTACATTCTCTCCCCGTATTTTTGGCGTCTACTTGGCCTTAGCTGAAGAGGAAGCTGTTTCTCCATTAGAAGTACGGAGACATTATGAATGGGCTTCTCACATACACGAGGAATTCCGTGTAGGCTGTTTCATATGAGACTCCATTGACTTAAGTCTTCCAGGAGTTCTTTTTTTTTTTTCTTTTAGTTGCATTTATTTTAATGCTGAATTTACTCCTGTGCCATAAGTTTTTGTTTCTTCAGTTTCTTCTGGAATATCTTCTTCTTCTGGGCAATCTCCTCTTCTGGTTTAGGAACAATCTGTTCCTTTTTGGTAAGGATCATCTCAATGTGGCAGGGAGAACTCATGTATGGGTTAATCTAACCGTGAGCTCTGTAGGTCTGGCGGTGCATCTTGGGTCCTTTGTTCACTTGGATATGCTCAATGACCAGAGAATCTACATCTAAACCCTTAAGTTCAGCATTACTCTCTACATTTTTAAGCATGTGCAGCAAAAATTCAGCACTCTTTTTGAGCCACCGACCTTGTGTCCAGCCCCACTGCTTGGCCTGGGCACACCTGCCAACTCCATTGTAACGTCGGAATGGTACGCGCTGTTTCTGTAAAGCGACATCTTTCAGATACTTCGTGGCTTTTCATATATGCATACCCTTGATGGCCTGGGCAGTTTCACACATGTTCTTAAGTGAACATGAAGATTGGAACCTCTTGATTTGCATGACTTTCTGGCGTTCTCTGGATCAAGTGAATAGCAGACATTTTCACAGATTACTGCTAGGCACTGGACCTCTGGAGTCGGCATGGACCACCGGCGGCCTGCGCCTGCCCACCCCTACCAGTGGAGGGGCCTGGTTGTCCTCACTCTCACCCATCACATTCCTCTGCGAACCGCAGAGGCCCACTGGCCCCAGCTTCCAAAGTCGGCGCTCAGCCACATCCCCCCACATAAGAAACCATCACCACCAGCGAGGATTTAGTAGCCCTGGGAGTTTTCCTCACGGGGGCCTGGAGGCCGCTGCCCCCAAGGCCAGGATGGCGGCAATGGCAAGAGGATTCCAGGAGTTCTTTTAATTTGAATCTGGTAGTTGTGTAAGTTCTGGGCAGCCTGTTGTAAAGGCTGGGAGGACCTGAATTGGTGGTGACCAAACAGGATAAAGCAGAATCCACTGTGGCAACAGCCCTGAGTAATAAACTGGAATGCTGTTCATCAACCTATGAGTACCACTTTATGGACACATGTTCCCACCCTTACAAAATGAGGACAAAGAAGCCAGTGGCTCCTTTATGAGCAGGCTGGTGTTGAGTGAGAAACATAGTAAATTTTAGACATGCTCAGTGATATTTTTCCTTTTATATTTTAATACTTATGTTTTAAAGTTCTCCACTTATTGTATCTCTGAAAACGTAAGCAGAATAGAAGTTTCTGGTGGTGTTAGCCAAAATATTGTTTGGCTTTTAATTATGAACAGAGTCTTTCTCTTAGCCTAGGCTGTAGTGCAGTGGCGCCAACACATCTCATTACAACCTTGACCTCCCAGGGCTCCAGTGGTCCTCCCACCTCAGCATCCCAGACTCAGCCAAGTAGCTGGGCCTACACGTGATTGCTAACATGCCCAGTT